CCAACAGCTCCCATCGCATCCATCCACCAGCTCCAGGGTGGGAAACCAGGGGGAATGCACATGCTTTTGGCTCTTCAACAATCAAACACCTCCTGGACCTTCACTTTGTATTTCACACCCGAGGTGACGCTCCCAGCACATCCCCGGCGCTGGCTCAGCTCAGGCCCCCGATGGCAGCATCACCTCACCCCGCTGGGACCCCCCAGCCATCAGCTCTGCCCATGGTTGTCTTCCCTTGGACAAACTGAACGTCGTGGCTGCCTGAGCAGAGCCTGAAACTGAACACTCAGAGCCCCAAACCCACAATCCCCACTTGGGATGCTCCCGAGTTGCTGAGGAGTGAACTGTGGCAGGCTTCAACCAGCAGCACTGAGCCCCAGGGGAGCCGATCCTGGCACTGCTGGCGATGTACATCTGACAGCCCCTTGTCACCAGCTCCCTCCTGACCCTGCGTGTGCCAGACTGACATGAAAATGCCACCATTACCCCCTCCACCTTCCCATGCAGGAGCCTGACTGTGCTCCCCAGGTACTTCCAAAGCAGGGGATTTGCCCCCCACAAGTGATGGTGACCACCCGTAACAGCAGCAGCAGGATGCACTGTGAGGAGCAGGTTGCAAGGCAAGGGATGCTCTGTGGGGACCTGAACCTCATTTCCCAGGAAGAGAGGAGTTTTCCTGCACCCAGCACCCAGGCAAGCCCAGCGCAGACAGCCACGTTCCTGCCATGGGGTGGGCTGGGAGGGGGCTGCACGGCGCCGCTGCAGCAGGGTGCAGCAGGCTGCAGCGTGACTCAGAGGTGCAGAATGTCTGTGGGCAGCCAGCCCAGCTCCCAGATGCTCTGCAAGGGCTCGAGCTCTGGTGGAGGGAACGTGCACTCTCCTCGCTCCACATGCGCCGTCAGGAGCGCCCAGATTTCACCATCCCTTCCCCTTCCCACCCTGCTCCTCGAAGTCTGCAACCTCGTTCCCACCCTCCCTCTCTCCTTTGGGAAGCATCCATCCACTTTACGCCCTTTGGAAAGGAAAGCTGCACACTCGCATCCAACAGAAGGGGAATGACTGTGTGTGTAAGGGGCAGCCTGGGAGCGAAACCCTCAGATCCAGGCAGGGGGCCAGGGAAAGGATGGACGGATCCAGGAGAGCCTGGCTCCAGCCTCCCACATCTGCCAGCTCTGCCTCCCTTCCCTGCAATGGGAAACAGAGCAAGGGCACCCTGGCTCCCACCCCACCCTGGTATTTCTCACATCAGGACACAGCAGGTCTGGCTGCTTGGCAGCAAACCCCAATCCTCAGTGCAGACAGCCCATCCTGCCCCTGCGCCTTCAGGCTTTGCATCACCTCAGCCTTGCCCTGGGAATGCCAAAGGCAAGAGTTGTCCCGACGGGAAGCATCTCCCTTTGCTCCAGCAAACAGCTCCTGTGAGCACAGAGCCCGATCCACTGGGGCTTGCCTCAATCCCGCTGTGGCTTTGGGGGATGCTCCATGCAGCAGCCAGCTCTTTCTCCCAGGGGCTGGTTCCTCTTCCCACCACAGCATCCCAGGAGGACCTTAACACAACCCAGAGCTCCTCCAGGC